CAATGGGTTAGTATCCAAAATACAGGAACTGATACAACTCAATACCCAAAAGAGAATCCAATTAAAAAATGAGCAGAAGACATGAACAGATATTTCTCCAAAGAAGACAGATAGATGGCCAACACACATGAAAAGATGCTCAACATCACTCATCATCAAGGAAATGCAAATCAAAACCACAATATCACTTCATATCTATCACTTCATACCTGTCAGAATAGCTAAAATCAAAAACACAAGAAACAACAGGTGTTGGTGAAGATATGGAGAAAAAGAAACCCTCTTGCATTGTTGGTGAGAATGCAAATTGGTGCAGCCACTCTGGAAAACAGTATGGAAGTTCTTCAAAAATTAAAAATAGAAATACCCTATAGTCCTGGAATTGCACTACTGAGTGTTTACCCAAAATATATAAAAACACTAATTCAGAGGTATACATGCACCCTTATGTTTATTGAAGCATTGTTTGCAATAGCCAAGCTATGAAAGCAGCCCAAGTGTCTGTAGATAGATGAATGGATAAAGAAGATGTGGTATGTAAATACAATCGGAAATTATTCAGCCATAAAAAGAATGAAAGTGGGGCACCTGGGTGGCTCAGTCGGTTGAGCATCTGACTTTTGGCTCAGGTCGTGATCTTACTGCTGGTGGGTTTGAGCCCAACATCAGGCTTGTGCTGACAGCTTAGAGCCTGCTTCGGATTCTGTCTCCCTCTCTCTCTGCCCCTCCCCCACTCGCACTCTGTCTCTCTCTGCCTCTGAAAAACAAAGAAATGTAATAAAAAAAAAAAATGAAATTTTGCCATTTCCAACAACATAGAGTTAGAGAGTATAATGCTAAGTCAGTTAAAGAAAGACAAATACCATATGAAATCATTCATATGTGGAATTTAAGAAATGAAACAAAGGAAAGCAAAGAGAAAAAAGACAAACCAAGAAAAGACCTTTTTTTTTTTTTTTTTTTTTTTTTTTTTTTTTTTTTTAAAGCCAGTGAGGGTGTGTACACAGGCAAGCGGGGGAGAGTCAGAGGGAGAAAGAATCTTAAGTAGGCTTCACATTCAGTGCAGAGCCCAATGCAGGGCTCAGTCCCACAACCCCGGGATCATGACCTGAGCCGAAATCAAGAGTTAGACACTCAACCGAATGAGCCACCCAGGCATCCCAAGAAACAGAATCTTTAATTGAAAAAATTTTTTTTATTAAACAAAATTTGTTTTCTTAATGTTTATTTATTTTGAGGGAGAGAGAGACAGAGTGTGAGCAGGCGAGGGTCAGAGAGAGGGGGAGACACAGAATCTGAAGAAGGCTCCAGGCTCTGAGCTGTTAGCATGGAGCCTGAAGTGGGGCTCAAACTCGTGAACCATGAGATCATGACCTGAGCCAAAGTTGGACGCTCAACCGACTGAGCCACCCAGGCGCCCCAAGAAACAGATTCTTAACTGTAGAGAACAAACTGATGGTTACCAGAGGGGGGTGAGTGGGATGGGGATAAAAGAGTACACTTACTGTGAGGAAAACAAAAAATAAATACTGGGAAAAAAAAGAAGAAAGAAGGAAGGAAGGGAGGAGGGAAGGGAAGAAGGAAAGGAAGGAAGGTTGGATGGATGGATGGATGGAGGGATGGATGGATGGATGGATGGATTTAGGCCAAAAGATTGATAGTGATTACCTCAGGGAGGAAGATTTACAGAAGTGAGAAGGTGGGGGAGGGAAGCAGATGGCATTTTACTTTTTCTTATTTATATTTCTGATTTGCTGAAATCTTTCATAATGAGCTTATATTAGTTGATAATTTTTTAAAACTTCAGTGTTATTGGGGGTACTTGGCTGGCTCAGCAGGTAGAGCATGCAGCTCTTGGTCTTGGGGTTATGAGTTCAAGTCCCATGTTGGGCATAGAGCTTACTTTAAAAAAAAAAGTTAAAAAGTCATCTGGCTGGCTTAGTAGAGCATGCAACTCTTGATCTCAGGGTTGTGAGTTTGAGTCCCATGTTGGGTATAGAGATTACTTAAAAATAAAATCTTTAAAAAAATCCAGAATTTCAAGGTATTGGATTACATTGGAAACAGGTTTAGAATCGGTCCCATTGTTTACCTTGGGCATTTAACTCCATTTTCCTATGTATCAGTTTCCCCAATTGTAAACTAACAATTGCTATTTTATGCCATAGTAGCAGGAGCTGATCTATGTAAAACTTTTAGCATGCTGCCTGATACTAATAAAATTGAATTGTATAGGTCAAAAAAAAAAAAAAAAGACCTACATATAAAAGGCAAAACCATTAAGATTTTAGAATACAATGGTATTTAAACTATGTTCCTAAGAGTCTTGGGAAAAAACATGGCTTGTAGGGGTAAGGGCACAATGAGTCAGGGAAGTTCTAGGTCTTTTATTCTGTTTTGGAAATTTTAAGCAATATTTATTTAAAAAATATAGTCCTCAGTAAAAGCTTGAGAATCAGTGCTATGTGGCATAGATTTACTTTGTTTTTACAGACTCACTTGGTTTTTGAAATCAGTATTGGACCTGCTTATAGGGCTTTCTTCTCTAATGGTCTATAAATCCTTTAAGGCAGAGGCTGTTTCTTTTTCATTGCTTTTCCATGGTTTCTGGAATTATATGGACTCAGTAAAATAAATGCTTGTTAAATGAATTCAAGCCCTAGAAGTGGAAGGAATGTATAGAGAAGAGTGGAAAGGAAGGAAGGTACTTTTCAGAACACTCACATTTAGGGAAAAGGAGAAACCCATGTATAGGAGCAGTTAAGTAAAGTGTTAACAGATATTAAGGAAAAAGGAAACGTATTTGTTATATTTCAAAAAGACAGTGTTCTGTTTGTCTGTATTCCTAGAGGTTATGTGATGGATTTTGGAGTCAAAGAGTCTGTCTTTGAGTCGTCAAGTATGTCAAGAGTCAGTCATATCCACGCTCTGCCTCTTACTAGCTATGTGATACTGGGCGTATTAACTTCTTTAAAACCTAGTGTTCACATTTATTAAAAGGAGCTAATATTATTCGGTGATTAAGAGGTCACTGATGACCTTCAAGGTAGTGGGACTAAAAGGCAGATTATAGGAGCTTGATTCGACTGTATTTTTAAGTGTAAAGAACATTTGTTATGCCCAGAATTCATGATCCCCAAAGACCACTAGGGAGCCGAGTCCGATGCAAAAGCAAAGAGCCTTTATTCGAGCTAGCTCGAGCTCAATCCCCTACCTGCACCGACGCAGCGGTGAGATACCAGGGAAAGAGGGTGAGTTTCAAAAGGACAAAGGTTTTATTGGGGCCTGGGGGCAGTTGGTGAGGTAATGGCTATGGCCTCAGCCGATTGGCTGGGGAAGGGTCCTGGGGAAGGGTCGAGTCCTGTTAGGCAGGTGAGGGGGGGTTACTCAAGGGGAGGAGGTGTGGTCAAGGTGAAGGACACAGAACAAGATGGAGTCGGCTGGCGTAGGCCCGCCCTTTCA